ACCATTTCAGGGATGCAGCCTTTGGAGAGTAATGTGTTGTCTCAACCTTATTTGTCCTATAATCTCTATTATACAAAATCGTATAACACAGTGATTTTTAGGAAACTGTATGCCACATTATAGAAAATTAGTGCCTTGCCAGAAATCATCCAGGTTACTATTTTAATTTTCCTTTTCAATTTATATAGAAGAATACCACTAAGATACTTAAAAACACATGATTAATTTATTAAGGTTTCATTTTTAGATGCAGATAAATGTGAGTGTATAGATAGGAAGTGATGAGCTATAGTTATCTCAACAACAGAGTTTAATTAGAGTGCACTAGTGTGTACAATTCACCTTAAACTCAATTTTGATAGGTATTAAAATTGAAGTGAATAGCTATTCTAAAGTAATTTGAATGCAACCAGCTGAATCTCTACTAATAGTGCATAGGTAAGAGATGTGAAAAACTGATTATCTATTTAAAAATACAAATTAGGACTTTTACTGTTGGAAATTATGTTTCTAAACCCATTACAGACTTAAAAAAAAAAAAAAAAAGCTTTTTGTGGTAGTAATTCCCAAGATAGCAACAGAGGAGGCTCCTGAATTTCCCTCCTCCCACAGAGGCACCAAATGAACAAACCATACAACTACACTACAGAAATTTCCTCTGAAAGAAATCCAGAAACTAGCTGAACACATTGGGGAATGAGAAAACACCTATCCTGAAATGGGCAAGCAGGACTGAGACACACACACTTGCCATAAATCCCATCCTCAGCAAAGCACCATTCAGTCTGGAGAGCAACCCCAAATCCCAGTTGTGAAAACAGAGCATATCAAAATTTATGAGATCCAGCAAAAGCAGTGCTGGCTGGGAAGTTTATAGTGATGAACATCTATGGTAAAGGGGGAAAAACTCACAAATAAACAACCTAACTTTACATCCTTAGCGAGGGGGAAAAATAGAACTAAGCCCAAAGTTGCCAGAAGAAAAGACATAACAAAGATCAAGGCAGAAATAAATGAAATTGGAAACTAGAAAAACAATAGAAAAGATCAATGAAATTAAGAGCTGGTCTTTGAAAAGATAAAAAAATAGCTAGACTAAGAAAAAAATGGGGAAGTCTCAAATAATAAAATTATAAGTCAAAGAAGAAACATTACAACGGACATCACAGAAATATAAAGAATCATAAGAGACTGCTAAGACCAACTTTATGTCAACACAGTGGATAACCCAGAATAAATGGATAAATTCCTGGAAGCACAGAACCTACCAAAACTAAATCATGAAAAGAAATAAAAATCTGAACAGACCAATAATGAGTAAGAAGATTAAATCAGTAATAAAAATAAAACAAAACAAAACAAAAACACCTCTCAACAAAGAAAAGCCCAGGACCAAATTTCACTGGTGAATTCTACCAAATATTTAAATAAAAATGTGATGTTGTCAATTGTATGTCAATAAAGCAGGAAAAAAATTTTGCTTCTGAAATTGTATAGAATCAATGCTCTGCTGAATTTCTTAGTAACATCTGTTCCATTTAGAAGATGTTGAAATGCTGAAATTAACACAGGTCCTGGGTTCTTTGAGTAAGGTAAAATATTAAATTATATTAATAAATAATATGCTAAATACAATGAATAGCAAAACAACCAAGTTTTTATTTACAAAATAAATAAATGATTTCCTAATAAGGAATCATTCAATCATTAAGTAATCTATTAATTATTAATTAATAGCCATTAATATTAAAACACATTATGGAGTCGCATAATGTTTTCTAAAAATTCTAGGGTTTTTTCTCATTCAAGAAGAATCTTGACAATTATTTCCTTACATTAAATGATTAAAAAAAATTTTAACTCTACACCACGTTAGGAAGGGCGTGTTTGCTTTGGGAGCATTTAGAACATCAGAGAAACCAACAAAGTATCCATAAATAATGCAATGAGATGATAATTAGTAGGATTCAAACATTCACCATGTACAAGACGCTCATCTAAGTGTGAAAGCTCATTTTATTCTAACAAGAACTCCATGGTGTAGGTATTATTGTAGGTAGGTATTTCACCAAAGCAGAGAAAGATCAGTAATCAAATGCTCAAACTCACAGCTAGTAAGTGTACAGCAGATGTGAAATCCAGTCCGACAGTAGAGCCCATGCTTTTAGTATCTACACTTTGCTGACTCTCTGTTAGTGTTTTATTAAATTAAGCATTGCCTTAAGCCCCAGAATAATTATAAAATGAAAATACTCTATTGTAAATTAGATTCTGTTTCTCTAATGGCTTATTAAATAGAAGATACTTATGATTTTTTCAGGAAAGAACATTTTTCTTTCCAGTTGAAATTCATCCAAAGGAAACATGATACAGCAGATACCTCTATGGATTTCTTAAAGTGAAAATATGTATTTACTGAGGACTTGACTTGGAAGTCCTAGATCTCAGAGATTGCTTTGGGAATGTGAGAAAGTCATTATGTTCTGGCTCTCCAGTAATTTATTTTGAGTTTGTTAAATTCGTTGATGTGTGAACTGGTTATCGAAGCTTGATAAACAGCTTATAAATCACTTTGAAGTTGGCAGAAATAAATATTAATGAGTCAATTTTCAAGGAATTTACAGTCAGTATCTCCTTCTGCTGCTGCCATAAGTTTTAAACAGAATCTCAGTTGTTTCATTTAGAAAAGAATCTACAACGTATTAGTAATGATGGGTATTTCTCAAGATAGTCATAGGACGATTGATTTAGCAAATCAAATGATTTGCCTAAAAGAAAAGAATGTTCTTTATAAATCCACCACAGAGTTTCATATGACAGAAATCTTGTTTAAAACTTATTTATAGGGGCGCCTGGGTGGCTCAGTGGGTTAAGCCTCCAACTTTTGGTTTGGGCTCAGGTCATGATACAGGATGGTGAGATCAAACCCCAAACTGGGCTCCACACTCAGCCGGGAGTCTGCTGGAGAGTCTCTCTCTCCCTCCCTCTCTCTGCCTCTCCCCCCTGCTCACCCACGCTTTCTCTCTAAAATAAGTAAATAGAATATTTTAAAAATAAATAAAAACAAAACTTATTTATAAAACACAAGTACAATGGTGATTCTAATCCTTTGAGATACTAAAGCAACCTGCTTCCCTGAGATTTGCTCAGGGCCAGCCTTAGAATAGGGAAAGAAAAAAGCATTTCTAGGACCAGTGTCGACCCATGTCAGAGCCTTACTGACATTATCCCACGTGAGCCATTTCTACCTTCTCCACACAAGATCAAACAGAATCAAAGGGTGTTAGTAGCTTTCCCAGGCCACATGACAAATGACTAGCAAACGCAGGATTTGAAAAACATGTTTATCTAAGTATGAACCTCTGTTAGTGTTTGAAATAGAAAAAACATTATTTTCTATGTGATAGATTTTAAGGAAACAGGCCCTCCACTTCTTGAAAATACATAATAAAAAGGCATTAAAACCTATTTACTTAGAGATATTAGAGAACTCTAACCTTACAAGTTTGCATAGCATGCCAGAAATTAATAATCAAATCGAGGCTTGATTTCAGAGCTCTTGTGCCTGTCCTCCCTTCTGCAGATAGTCGATATCGTAGTATTCATATTTGTTTCCTGGATCTTACTTCTTGTAACTAAGAAATACTTGAAGCCTTCAATGTCTTTTATACCTCATTTTGAGTTGGTGTATTATATTCCTCCCAGACGTTCTGGTGCTAATTTGATCTCCAGAAAGGAACGAGCTTGCAGAAAGATTCCAACCACTGTATATGGTTGGGAATCTCATTCACTGTTTAAGGACACCCAGCTGACTAAATTGGGAAGCAGGAGTTGATATCCAGCTCACTCTTTACCCACCAAGCCATACAAGGGTGTGGCATGCACCTAAAGAGGGCACCATGTCTAATCTGGTTAAGGTTACCTTATAGGCTCACTTGAGCCCTGCAAAGACCCTGAAAGTTAGGGAAAAAGGTGAGGAGATAATTGCACATAAATATTTTCAGATCCAAAATCTACCAGAAATTAAAGAAACTGACCTATAAGGCTAATGATTAGGATGTTTATTAATTCAGTAAATTAGTACTGGGGGGCGGGGAGATGTCTTCTCTCAGCACCAAGGACTATAATTTTGTCTTAGGAGGAATGATGGAGGGTAAACACCAGCAACAGGTCCTATTTCATTATATGGGATATGAGAATGTTACTCAGGAGCCTGTGAATATGTAAGAAAATGATTCTACAGAAGGTGGGAGAAATAGAAAATTCCTGCTCCCTTTTACTCCATGATTTTGTTTCAAACACTTTCTAAAGTCTTCTTGGAATAAAACACCATGATGTTGCATATGGCACATTTTGAAAAATCATTACACCATCACTGTGACAGATTCTGAAGAGTCTCTGAAGAAACACTTCCGAACATTAAGCTGTCAAGTCTTCATTTAATGAATATATCATTAGCATTTTCTATTTGAATGCTGAACACCTTGGAAATGCTAACAATAACGACTCAATTTTTTGAGCAACAGGCACCATACTAGGTAGTTCACATACATATTGTCTATCTTCCCAAAAAAGAATACTCCAAAAGTTACGTGTTACTCTTCTCTCTCTCTTTTTTTTTAATCAATGAGGAGACGGGCTCAAAGAATCTAAAGCATCTGGGAATTCCTGGCAGAGGGCAGATTCGAATCCTTGCTGGTCCTGATTTTAAACCTGGAGTCCTCTCTCCCTCACTGAACTAACCCTAGGAGAAGGCTTCTACTTCAAGGAAAAAGTGGAACGTAGCTAACCAAACTTCTACTGTAAGATATAGAAAATATACCTTGACTCAAATATGGCAATCCATGCATTCTCCTACTCTTTCCTGAGGCCCTAACTTGTTTAGCTGTCATCATTTTCAAGTTCATAAATGGTGTGCTTATAAAGCAATGGAACTTTATATATGGGGCTAATGCCTGAGTTCTAAGCCATGGGTCAGGAGATGTGGTGTGACTGCTTACCTGTTCCGATAACTTCTGTCCATCGAGGTGAGCTTGTGTCACAGCATCATTAACAAGCACGTGGAAGTTCAGGAGCACATGTTCAATGTCGTATGTTCCATGCATGGCATCTGAGAGCTCCTCCAGTGACCGGATGTAGGCATGCCAGTGCGGATTCAGCTCTGCCGTGTGTGCCAAGCAGCCTCTCACGACGTTGAGGCAGTACCCCATGCAAGGCTTGCTGAGAGTCAGGCCCTGGCAGAGAGGACAGTACTGCATCCTCAGCAGGGCCCTGCTGCACTCTTTGGAGACATGCAGATGGTCTGTGGTATTGATGACTTCAATGCCCAGATTCAGCGCCTGCAGAAACGTGCGGCTGGGCAGCAGCGATCTGCCCATCTGCCCCATTACTCTTTGGGGAATATTACCAAAGGGACTAACATCCCGGCGGGCCATCCGGAGGCATTCCGAATATTCCAGGGAACTGTCCGACACGCCAGGGTTAATGAGGTGATTGTAGACGAGAGGAAAAAGACTGTCAAAGAACCGGTTTACAAACTCTTCGGGATTAACATCCGCACCAAATAAATAGAGCCCCACGTCAGTGAACAGCTCCTGAACGGAAGCTGCAGCCTCTAGGGCCATGTTCCTATAGGTGTTGCAGAAGAGAATGCTGGTGTAGTTCTCTGCTTGCCTGATGAGAGTTTCGAGGGTTTCTGTGACAAAAGCAGAGGTAAAACAGGAAAAGGATTAGTATGCATGTTAAAACTGTGCATCTGTCTGCTCCAGACAGTAAATGAGCTTAATGCATCCTACCCAATGCACTAAGGATCCAAATGGGAGTGTTCCGCCAACTAAACCCACATTAGCCTTCCCAGGATAACGGCTGGTCAACAGTGGGCATTACACACACCACACAAATATTTTAAGATGCATTTCCCAGAGTCAAACATCTTTGCAAAGTATAGAAATAAAAAAGAAGTTACGATACAGTGGTTCCCTACTTACTCTGTTCCACAGTCAACCGTAATCCACCAATGATGGAAGGAACAGTGTCACTGAGAAGATAATTTCCAGCCGTGGGTTCATGGTTGATAAAAGACTGTCATTAGATGTTTGACTAACACCTACTTTATTTTACACATTTTCTTTTTTCCTTTTTTTTTTTTTTTTTTCAGAATGAAAGCTAGTAGATTATACACCAGTTATTGCACAGAGAAGCTCAATGCCCATAGGGAAGACTGATAATCCTCAGGACCCCCCTAGCATGGTCAAATTAAAAAGAAAGTAAAATAGTTCATGGTTAAACAATGCCTTGACTGGCAAACCCTGTTTGAGTTGTATTAGTCCAGGACAATAACTCTGTGAGCATCTTCTGAACTGTGTTCTGTTGTTCTTATTACCTTATCACCCAAAAACTACCGTGCGGCATTTTATTTTCTCACTTAGGGAACTGATGCTTCCCAATCAATTTCTCCATAGAAATAACAAAGCATAATTTTTCTACAAATTAAGGAAGGCTGTAGTAATCGGCAAGCAAAAGTTGTATTTCAAAATGATAGCTTTAAGCAGCAGTTGAATACCTTGGATATTCTAGTAATTACATTTTATATTTAGCCTAATTATAATAAATAATGATGCTGGACTGTTATCAATACATAATTAATTGTAAAATACACTCAATAAAATTATCTCCCATAACCCCGGTCTCATCGTTATTTTTAATTGGGTTGTAAAAGACCACACAATAATTCACTAATCAGACAATTGAATATATTATAAAAGGAGATGCGACGACAGTAGAATAAAACGAAATAATAAAAGGCAGAAGTGCAAGGCGAGCTACGAATAATGTGGAACTGTGTCAAGAATATGCCGTAGTGTCCTAAAAACAGATACACAGCAACACCACCAAACCAAACCAAACCAAACCAAACCCCTTTATGAAAAGTGCGGACAGATGAAATACAGTATTGTGTATTCTGATTCTATGCTGAGACCATTAAATGTTGGGTTTCAAGCTTTGGTGTGATATATCAAGGTGCCTGCTCCAGACAAAACGATTGTTTCTCCCCTAAAATTAATCTGCTGAAATCTAATCTCCAATATGACGGCACTTGGGAGTGAGGCCTTCGGGAGGTCACTTGGTCATAAGGGTGAAGCCCTCGTGAATGGGATTAGCGCCTCCACAAAAGAGGCTCTGGAAAGCTCCTTTGTCCCTTCTGCTATGTGAGGACACAGTGACATGACCATCCAGGAACCAGGAAGGAGGTTCTCGCCAGACAATGAATCTGCCAGCAAAAGGATCTTGGACTTCCCAGCCTCCAGAACTATGAGAAATAAATGTTCTCTCATTTATATAGGGCATCCCGTATTCTGTGACAGCAGTCTGAACCAAAGAAGGGCATCTAGCTTATTATCAAAGGCAACAGCTTTTATTATTTTTTTTTTTTAGTTTTTAAAAAATATTTTATTTATTTATTCAAGAGAAGTAGAGGAGGAAGCACGCTCATCCCAGAACAGGAAGCCTGATGTGGGACTTGATCCCAGGATCATGATCCCTGGGATCACGATCTAAGCCAATGACAGATGCTTAACCGACTGAGCCATCCAGGCATCCCCAAAACAATGGCTTTTAAAGGTGGCTGTGACTCTGTTGCAACACAGAGCACTAAGGAAGCAGGACACCTGTCATCTCTGCATCTCCAGTGCCCACTTGAATGTAAGCTATCTACTATACACTCAGTAAAAATGTGAGTAAAGGAGGGATCAAGTGAGATTAGCTGCTCTGCCAAGTGGACTTACCCGATGGCCCAGTCAGGGTGAGGAAAATTCAGCCTGCCAGGTCTCTGCAGTGGTATTTGCAACCCAGCGGGTCTGTTTTGGTTCCCGAGTCTGCATTTAACCACCAGCCTCCATGATTCCTTCAACCTAGACAGGTTTTGAAAAACTGCACTTGCAGATAACCTATGACAGGTTCTGCCTGCGTTCATAGAGCAGCTCCACAAGCATTCCAGCCAACAGTCTGACCCCACAATTGCCGTCTCAGCCACTACACTCTGCTTTCAGAGACCCGCAAGAGTGAGTGTGAAAAGTGAATTAAACCTGTGGTCTGAACTAAAATAAAACTGCTAAGCTTGTATCATGCTCATTAATAGAGGCTCATGTCGCTCCGCAAACTGTGTGTGGCCAAGAATTATGAGGTAGGTTGCAAATGAGATTATTTGCCAATGATGGTTAAATAGCAATGTTTGCAATTTCTTTTAAGATCAAATGAGGATAGATTTAAAGATACCAATACCACAGGCACACTTACATACCTTCCACCATTTTTTCTAAGGTGCGTGCTGTAGACGTGACTGTGACTGATACCCTCCAAAGATTCTCAGTGCAATGAAGGTTGAGTGCTACCCCAAGAAATACAGATGTTCCCTCTGATTTCTGCCAATTCTAAGTGATGTTCAAACACAATTTTTTAAAGTAAAAAATAAAATTTTCCTTTATAAATTCTAGTCCCAGTAATTCAGAACTAATAATGAGTAAGGAATATATAGAATTTATATTTTCAGCTGCTATAACAAGTAGGTTTTGCAAATTAATTTATTCTGTGAAAGCAATATTGAAAAAAGATATAAAAGTGTTTAAAACCATTACTTTAATTTTATTTCAGACTAGTTTTCCTTTGACCTTTTAAACAAAATAACTGCAAAATGTAAAAAATGTTAGGAATCCTGTTAGAGCAACATTTTAAAACTTGTCTCTAATGCTGTAAAAATTAAAATATTAGTTTTCATGACTATGTATTATTTTTGCTAACCTTTGAATAAGAGATGACATGTGTTCAAATATCAACATTCTGATTATTTCCTGAACATCTAAACACAAAATCCTTTTGTTTTTAAAGATTTTATTTATTTATTTGACAGAGAGAGATCACAAGTAGTCAGAGAGGCAGGCAGAGAGAAAGGGGGAAGCAGGCTCCCCACCGAGCAAAGAGCCCAATGCGGGGCTCGATCCCAGGACCCTGGGATCATGACCTGAGCTGAAGGCAGAGGCTTAACCCACTGAGCCACCCAGGTGCCCCACAAAATGTCTTTTTAAAATGGACTCTTTTGCAGCAGTTTCTCAGTATGCTATCAACTCATCGCAATATAAAGATTTGTCTTTCAATCTGTGTTAAATCTGATATTGACACATTCCAGTTAATTGGATTAACCTAAACATATGCTAGTATTTCTGAATGTGTTTATTTGTGATCCCAAACATTTCTCAACTCCGATGATGAGAACAGCAAATAATTGTTCTTTATACATTTGAATCTTTAATGATGAGGGATAAACATACTTTTGTGAATTTTTGATCCTAATATAAAATGTTAATATATAAACATTTACAACAGAAACTGAACAATCTAGAGGCCAGTCCACCGGGTAATTTTATTTATTTTTTTTTTTTTAAGAAAATATGGTGGGGCGCCTGGGTGGCTCAGTGGGTTAAGCCTCTGCCTTCAGCTCAAGTCATGATCTCAGGGTCCTGTGACGGAGCCCCGCATCAGGATCACTGCTCAGCAGGGAGCCTGCTTCCCCCGTCTCTCTCTCTCTCTGCCTGCTTGTGATCTCTGTCTGCCAAATAAGTAAACAAAATCTAAAGAAAAAAAAAAAAGATGGCAAAATCAGAAATTGAATTTACTAAAACTTAGTTGTTTATATTAACTCTGAATTCACAAACTCATCATTTTGTTCCCCTACTACGTTTTCCAGAGTTGTGTGTTTCCATTTTATGGAATTAGTATTATGATTTCAACAAGAATTTAAACTTGTCAAAACAACTGTCATATAAACCAGTGATTTTGCTGTTGTGCAAAAGAATAATCCACATACAAAATCAATATGCATAAATCCAAGGTAGGGTAGATGCTAAATAACGTATCCCATCTACTTCATTATTAAAGAGAAAACATACTGTCCTTTCATTACAAAGTTTTAATAACTTAAAAAAAAAAAAACCATCCAAGCTATACAAATAATAGTGTTCTGTTGGTTGACAAAAATTAGAACACCTATTGAAAGTAAATAAACATTTGCTAGGCTTGCTTAAGGAATTTAAGAAACAGACAAGGGGGAAAAAAAAAACAAACCAACACCTGTCTGTTGTTTTTCATTGAGAATTTCAATAAGCTCTTCTTTCCAGTGCTCTCAGACCAAGGCCAGAAACTTCCAACTCTCCTTTTAATGCCTAAGAGTGGTAGGTTGAGTAAGACACTGTACTCTAGTTACTGATTGAATAAGAACATAATTTCCCCCAGTTTTATGAATTAATTTATGTATCATCTCATTAAGTAGAAAGTGAAGGTGGAATGCATGAAGTTGATCTCCATCCACTTCCATTTTGAACATTAGCATCTTGTGAAAATTTAATAACAAAATCCCCATGACTAGAAACTCGTATCAACTTTGTTCAGCCCACATTCCCTTTAGAGACATTTTAGAGTACATACAAATTACAGGTAAACTAAGGATTTAGCTTAAATACAACTGGTAGAGATAAAACAAGGTGATACTGATTTAAAATTAAATCTGACAAATTGCAAAATCAGTGAAGACTTACAAGCAAGTAGCTTTTTACAACGGGAGAAACCATATTTATGGGGCTTTTATTGCTTTAAAGATAAAGATGATTTCAAAATCTAATGATCATGAAATAACTGTTATA